ATGACGCCAAAAAAAATCAGAGGCCTTTCCTTCAAATAGCATATTTGCATTCCCGCATAAAAGTGAGAAATTCCCCTCTAATGTCTGATGTGTCAGAGCCTCGACTCTGTAGATGAAACTATCTACCCCTATAGTGTCGCCCGCTCCCGAAAACCTTAATTTCCAGTTTGATAAAATGTGACCCACTTTGTCGGGTCTTTGTGCTAAATCCGAGCTTAGGGATCTGGAGCTATTGGGTCTCTGTGGAACTGTATACCGTTCTTCGTGTGGCATGTTAATTCCCAAAACCTGCTCTAGGGAGGAATTCCTACTTGTATTAGGATTTACTGTTGCCCTTTGTTGGTCTATATTGCTTATTTGCGCTTCTACATTTGTCTGTATTAGGTTTGCCATCCTCTCCGTGAGCTGAGTTAGTAGCTCGTTTTGCATTGCCTTTACGGCTGCAGAAATTTCTGTAGTTATTTGGCTCATTTCTTCTGCTGGTGTATTAGCATCTGTGTTCTGATCCTGCCTTGACCGCTCCTGACTGGTTGAAGCTGACAAGTCCACCTCGCTTCCACTACGCGAAATAGTTTCGAGCCTTGTCCGCTGCCTGGTTTGAATTGCTGACGTCGGAGGTTGTGAAATTCGTTGATCGATACAGATCGAATCACAAATCGGACAAGTTCTCTTGACTGCCAAATGTGTCCTTAAGCACGCTTTATGGAAGACATGCTGACACTTGGTTTTATAGCTATCGACTGCCCTAATCTCAGAGCTACATAAGCTACACTCAGAACTAGGAGGAGGTCCCTCTTTTTGAGGTGATCGATCCAGACCCATAAATGTCTAAGTATAATTATTACCTATTACTATTATTATTATTATTTTTTTTTTTCTTTTACTAAGGATGAATGAGGTAATACTAAAAGGATAACTTTTTAAAATATATAATAAAAAATTTTGTTATTATTTTTTTTTTTTTTTTTTTTTCCCAAATTAAAAGTAGTTTTGATTTCCACCACGCACTTAGCAACGCTGCCTATTTACGACCGTCTTCACAAAATTGTTGATAAAAATAAAAAAAATGGACTTGAATCAAGCAATGATTTGTGGACATGAGGCCTTATGTGTAAATATGAATCTTCATGTTCTCCATGCAAATCTATTGCTCGATTTACTCAAGGAAATGGTTCTCATCAGAACTTTATCCGTGGTCGCGAGCTCCACCTAAACGTAGAGTCAACGCGCATTCCAAGCGTCTTAAGCTCTTGAAGAATAACCAAAACATTTAGGATGAAAAGAGGAAAAGAAAACTGAAATAAAAATTAATGGGGAGCTATTACTGAGGCTAAGTGGTCAATAGCCAGCTGCTAGCAGCTAAGCGACTGATTCCAATTCTTATGTCTCAGGTAGCCCACCACTTTTCTTTCTCCACCAATTGTCACTTTCGAACCCACATCTCACCGGTCAGGATATCCGCCTAAGGCTGAGCATCCTGTGTTCCAAATGACGATCCAGAAACAAAAATGACAAACGACGACCAAGAAACTAGATAGTTGCCGATGAAGTAAGTGATGCTTACTTTACTGACACCTGCCCCAATTAATCGATCAGGAGAAAACTAAATAAATTTAGGTTATAGAAAGAAACAGTTACGGTATAAATTGTAGTGAGTTTCCTAGACTTAATATCCTTTCAAAAATTTCAAATAAAATCTAGCTTCACCGTTGGGCGCCAAAATAATTAATAAGATCTTACTAATAATTATTCATTACTGTAATGGGTAACGAATATCAGGCTAGATGTTGAACTCCCGCTTTTGGCCCGCACGTTCGATGGTTCCGGCTCTGGCTCGTCGGTGGCGTGGTGTTAGGTTGTTTGGCCAATCACGGGTGCCTTTTTAGGACTTATTATTATTTAATTACAAAAAAACGTGCGAGAAGAGATGACGAAATAAGCTACCGGAGGAGCTATGACCGACAACTGAGAAAATTAGGACACGGAAAGGATAGAAAACGAAGAAGACAAATTTTGTGCGATCGGACAATGTACCACTCCTTGATGTTTTAGGAGCTAACGAGGCCCACCCTTCCTTGATCATGGGTTTTCCGTATAACTTTAAAATTTTCCACGATCCCTTTGTTTGGCAAGCGCTAATGAGGCGGGTTTAGGAAATCAAAAATCAAGATTTTACGCAAACATTATAAAATAGTTTATTAAAGCTAAAATGGACATAATAAAATTTTCTGGGTTTCGCTGTGGTTCTTTACATCTAATATTTTTTTAAGGAAAATTAAGTAAGGCGGAAAAATTTTATAAATATTTAAATATGGGGTATGAAAATGACTTAAATATAAAAAAAATTGGGTTTTCAATAAAAAAAAGGACAAAGAAAAATATAATTTATCATCAATTAAAGGTACATGTGGTAAAATGGGAAAACGTGAAAACTTAACATAGAAATAAGAAGAATTATCAAATGGGATACTTCAATAAAATATTATTTTGGTTTTAAGCAAACTCACTGTGTTTTATTTTCTGCATCCACCGCCGAAAGCTTTCGCTGGTTGCTGCGCTGTGAGAAAAACTTTATCGCACAAAACAAGAAAAAAAATATGCAAAAAAAATAATAATTTCATTTTTATCAAATAAAATGATTTTTTCCTAAAGAGGAAAATTTTCTTCGTTTAACCTTTTTTCCGTTCACTTTTCACCCATATTTACACTTATACTCTAATTTTCAATTATTTTTCTCTTCGGTTACATTAAGGGGGGAAATACAATTAAAAGGCCTAAAATGAGGCCTATCTTTGGGAGTGAAATGCAAGTAGGGAATTGAATGAATCTTAGCGATTCTTTTTGCATGGTATTAGAAAATTATTGGGCAATAAAAATCAGTCAAGTTTTTCGAAAAATATTGTAATTAAGCCCATTTATGATCAATAATGTGGAGTCGTGTTTTGGGGGATAAACTTTGCGCCGTGCAGTCTCCAGGCCCAGGATCACGTCTAAAACAAAAAACAGCAACTGGGCATTAAACTTAGAGGTACAGCGCACAACATGAATTATTTCATATGTAAAAAAATGGTTTTTCCATTAAAAAATTTGAAATTGAAAAAAAATGTTTAAAAAAAACACACTTTTTTTCGACTTTGTTCGTCAAAAAAACATGTTATAACAAATAAATATGAAAAATTCTTTAATTCATGTTGTGGAGAATTTCATTTCAAACATAAAGCAAAAAACCGCATTCGATTTAAATGAAATCTCTGACCTGTACATTGCACGGCGACTTTGAAAACACGACTTTTCAGTAGAAGCGTTTAAAGTTTACCACTCACTAAAGTTTACCACTGACACGCACTCACTAAATTGCGTATTACTTTGAAAATAAGTACCGGACAGCTTTATGCTTTTAAAGGCTTATTCTCAGATATATTTAGAGTATATTAAGACAAAAAAAAATTTTTCGAAAATAAAAAATTTTTAATTGTATTTCCCCCCTTAAAAATTAACTTAAAAGTAAACTCCATACAAATATTTCCTGCTTAATTATTCTATCCCTCTCAATTCTCTCACTAGAGTTCAATGAACCCTCTGGGGGACATTTGGGAGCTATGCTCCATCGCACCTTCACACCCGAGATTAAGCACAGCGTGCTATCACCTATTTCGTTTTGGGGTGACAAAACTGCAACGGGGCTACTGCACCGACTCCGTCCGTCTCGCTTACTCCTTCCTCCCAACGTGGAATGGGGGCCTGAACTTGCAGTTTTTTCTCGCCTCTCTTCTTGTGAACGGGACACCAATATCACACCAATATCACCTGATTTTACTTCAGCCGGTGTGAATGGAAGAGATTTCTATCCAGGGATTTTTCTTTGTTTGAATTTTTAGCTCGGTCTTTAACCGCTTATATCTACTTAGATATTACCTAGCCCCGGTGTTACCTAGCTAACCAAATTTTCTGAGCTAGGTGGGGGTTGAGGTTAGGTTTAGTTAGGGGTCACATATTCTCACTAACCCTCTAGAAAAAAAATTCCCTTTTTTAACTGACTTAGCTTAATTTAAATTGTTTAACAAAAAAAAAATCCGACACTGGAGTCTCCTTCCGCCGAGGACCTCCCTGCAACCGCACCAGGGGATTCGCCGATTTCCGTCGCGTCTTCGATGGTTGTGAACCGCGGACTGATCTGGTCCCAGAGCTTTGCCTCTTTCGCTTGGTTGCTCTGCACTTGGGAGCGATGTTGTTGCAGGCCTAGCCAAAATAGATTACGCGGACTTAGGAAATCTCCTCTCTTATAATAACTAATGGTCCCCCAAACGCTTACCTCCAGAGTCAGTGCCAACTGACTAAATTCCAAATTTTCACTTTTTTTCTCTGCTTCAAATTTTTCCGAATTAAGTTTTACCACTTTCAACTGCACTGGTCTGAGTCTCGATGTGAAAAGAAAGAACCTCCAGGCGAGTGATACGGGGAACCCAGGACCAGCTATTCGGGAGTTCTTTTTTTTTCCTTTTGCAGAGTGTACCCGGTTAAAAATTTCTCCACCCATTTCTCCCGCTGAGTAAGAGCGCTGCCACTAACAGTCCCTAAGCCTACCCGTTTTCTTCACGACAGTTTTAGAGCCAGTCGCTTCCAAACCGCATTACCAATCCATCAGATACACGCCTTTACAAATTTCGTTGGGCTGCGGCGGCGGGCAACGCCAAACATTTGTTGACCAAAAATATCTTCTCCTACTTAGCATTGATGGACACGGGCCGTTGAACGGATGGAATAATGTAGGAATGGACCAGTGGAGCGATGGACAAATGGATAAATGGATGGCGGCTTGGGTAGACAGACGGATAAACGGATGGATGGATGGATGTGCGTATTAGAGGAACACCAGACGATTGTCATGCTCAGAATATTTCCCGAGCGAAAATTTTCGGGTGTTCGAGTTAGCAACAATTTCCGGCATTTCGTATATAAGCTGAAAACTGAAAATGAAAATGCGCCACAGCCAGTGAGTTCTCAATTCGGTGTAGTTCTTCGTACAGCATCGTATCGGTTCGGTTGCACGTTTTTCAAAAGTAGCGCAAATTACTTAAAAATACCAAAAACCGAAAAATTGGAACAGCCGTCGCAGCAGCAGCAGCAGCCAAATCTGAGAATTTCTACGGGTCGGATTTTGGGATTCTGCGGTATTCGACATTCTCCTTTCGCATTTGGTCAACGCCGCATCTCCTCGTTCCGCATCTGCCAGCCGCGCGAAAAACATGAAATTGAAAATCAATCTGACGTTCCTCTGTGCGACACTCGTCGGCCTCCTGTCCATCATCCTATTGACACAGACCGTTTCAACTGAGGCATTCGGAGGCGGTGCCACCTCGGGGCAAGGAAGTGCAACGGCGTCATGCAAAGAGCTGAGTAAGTGTCGGATGTAAACCCATTACAGATGGCTCATTAAAGTGTTTAAGTACCTGACTGGACAACAGAAAAAACGTCCATTTCAAAGGCCTTATTGTTTGCCTATATTTTAAAAACAAATACAACAAAGTGCAAAGTAATCAACGTACAATTGAATTCAAATGGAACAGAAGGTCTGCAACAGAATTTTATAAATTTTATCCGGATCCAATTTATTTGCAGTCTTTCAACCGTTTTTCTATTCAACCCTATTCAGTAATTAAATAAAAAAAAATTTCGAACACAATCTCTCTTAGTAATCAATAAAAATTATAGAACAATAAAACCACAGAAATGGTTAAATTATATACATTTTGTTTAAATGTGAGAAAATAAATGTGCAATTTAGTGTCAAAAATTGTGTCTCACTTTCATGTGTTTATTTTGAAAGCATATGTAAAGCAGACTTTTGAAATTTATTTCACACATTAATTTTTCCCAGAAAAATTATCTTTTTATTAGCGAAATAATGGCCTTTAAAACACAAAGTAAAAGTCCCATTATTTTGTTATGGAATTAAGACAAAGGTAAATAGTAATTACACCATTCGCCGGCGTGTGGAATTTTTAAAAATGAAATATTCAGTAGGTACTTGCCAAGTTTTGTCCGCGTTCTTCTGACCGGCTATCTGTCTGTCTGTTTGCCCAGCGAAATTGTTCTATTTTTTCGCTTATGACTAAAAACGTGCCCCACGAATTATGAAATATTCTGCCTTGTGCCTTGAGGCTCGGCGCCCGATATAAGCAAACCATCAGAGACAAAGGTAATTGCGCTTAATGAGGCCAGCCGTATTTTGGAGCTAGTCCATAGGGCTATTAATAAGATGATGCTGTAGCTGACTTTCCAAAATTTTCAGACAATGTAAACTGCTATGTGGGCCGTAACGAGGGAAACTTCTGCAACAGCAAGGATCAGACAAAAGCGGTGACCCGCTGGTACTTTGACAAAGGCGTCTGTCGACCCTTCACCTACAAGGGATGCAACGGAAACAGGAATCGTTTTTGCTCGCAGGACAGCTGCGAGTCCCGCTGCGCCGATGATTAATCCATTTGTGTTTAGTCTATAAATTTGTATGAGTATATTTAAGTTAAGTAAAGATCAAAAACCCGCCAAAGGACTTTCTAATGTGGTAGTTTTAATATTTGAAGAGTTGTATCATACTTACATCTTCCATATATACCGAATCTACCATTTTTATACCCTTGCAGAGGGTATTATAATTTTGTCCAAAAGTGTGCAACGCAGTGAAGGAGACATCTCCGACCCTATAAAGTATATATATTCTTGATCAGGATCACCTCCTGAGTTGATATGAGCATGTCCGTCTGTCCGTCTGTCCGTCTGTCTGTTTCTACGCAAACTAGACTCTCAGTTTTAAAGCTATCGACTTGAAACTTTGCACACACCCTTCTTTCCTTTGCACGCAGTATATAAGTCGGAACGGCCCGGATCGGCCGACTATATCCTATAGCTGCCATATAACTGATAGATCGGAAATGGTATAACTTTGGTGTTTTTAGAGTTAGAGGGCTAAAAATTGACATGAGAGCTATTTTTGGCAAAATAATATGACATGCCAAATTTCATATGGATCGGCCGACTATATCTTATAGCTGCCATATAACTGAACGATCGGAAATGACCCAACTTTCGTGTTTTTGAAGATAGAAAGCTAGAACTTGGTACACATTCTATTTTTGGTCAGTTAATCCGACCTACAAAATTTCATTAGGATCGGCCGACTATATCCTATAGCTGCCATATAACTGAACGATCGGAAATGGTATTTGGTAGAAATATCAACTTTTGTATTTTTGAAGATAGAAGCTTGGGACTTTTTTTCGATTTTTTATTGTAATTGATTGGTTTTATTATGATGTAATCATAAGGATTGGCCAACTATATCCGATGTTTGCAATATATATCCGGTTTTAGCTGCAAGGGTATATCAACTTCGGCTCCGCCCGAAGTTAGCTTTGCTTTCTTGTTTAAAAACAAAAATTTGGTTCTTGAAACTTTTTTAAAAATTATTGTACACATATAGAGCTCTTTAAAGGTTTCAAAGTCATTCAACTTGAATTTAGTTTCTTAGAGTGTAGCTAGAAAGTATTTAAGTGTTTTTACCTTTGATCAAGAGGATTTTGACTAAATGCCGCCACAAAAATAGAAACTCAAATGTTGTAAGCTGTCAGAGGTGGATCGGCACTTTGCTCACTGTCAGGGCTGTATAAAAAGCCAAAACCCGAAAACCAAAAACCGAAAATCGAAGAAAAGAGTGCCCCGAGGGAGAAAAAAGTGGGCGGCAAATGTGCTAACTGTCAGTGGCATATCAAATAGCCTCCTGACATGGCACTGACAGTGTCGCCAAGATTGTGACTGCCACCCATTCCGCTAGCTTTTAATGCCCACCATTTAGATGCTGATGCTGACGTACTCCGATCACCGGCTGGCCCAGATGCCACCGATGCCACTGGACTTTGCCGGGGAGGGGAAAAAGCAGGGGAAAATTGCTTGATAACCGCCAGATGGCCATTGTCGGAAACATCAAAGTATACACGCTGTCAGCAGGGGCCCTTTTTTGCGGCTATCGACTTACGGCTAATTAAAATGCTAAAGCTACATTTGCATTTACCTGTTGACTTAATCGGTGGGTGGGTAGATGGGCAGGTGGTAGCAGGCTGAATTAATTGCAATGCCGGCATGCTCGGACTGGGTTTTGACAGGCCTTTGTTTCTGGCCACGTGTGGGGGAGGGTGATTGCTGTGTGCGCAAACAAATGCCAATCAAATGCATAATAGCACCGACGACATGCACAACATGACATGCCATTGATGGCAGCACATTAATCTGTTTAAATGACAGCTCTCAAAGTGGCAAAAGCCCGGCGGAGAAAAACGCTGGTTCTTACCAATGGGTATCCATTCGAGTCATGTGCCAAAACTTCGCTTGTCCGATGCTGGCAATTTTCGACACTATTAGCAAGTGTGCGAGCCGTTCAGTTTTTCGACAAATTCCAACTACTCACCGCATAATGGCGAGGAAGAACAAAAATTCGCAACGCGCAAAAGAAAAGCCCCTCTGGTGGAAATTTTTTTCGTCAGCAATTTGCATGAAATTAGTTTTCTCTCCGGTCTAATTGGAAATTTAAAACGCACGCACACGGCAGACAAAGGCCACTTTTGAGCGCTATAATTGAAAACTGGCAAATCCAGTCGGCATTATCTCAAAGCCGGAATAATCAGCGATTGCGCCGTAAATGATGCATGAGCCGGAAAAAATGGAATATCAACGTCATAAAAATGTAAGGGCCCCGAAAAAATCTGGGCAGACATCAAATGCGTGTAATTTGATTATTTATCACATTTTTGTACATTTAACGACTCAATTGAGTTTTATGTCAGCCAAAATATAGGGCGAGGGCGTAGAAGGGGCGAGAACGGGCCAAGCCCAATGATGATGATGAAATGGAAATTTCGGGTGAGTGTTTTGGTTTCCGGAATTGTTTTCATTTTCGTTGTCCGGGGTGGGCGACTGTAAAGCTGCACTTCCATAAAACCAATGCCAGCATCGTACTTTTTGGTCAATCAAAAAGTTTCCCAGACTGATGGAGGAAACAGGAGCCAAAGCCAAAGCCCAGCCAGAGCACGAGCCAGAGCCCGAGTCCCAGCCCGCGCCAGAGCTGCAGAGCTTTGACAATGCTCGCAAAAGTATGCTATGCTAAATGTTTTGCTTAGATGGAAAACTGAAATGTTTCGCTTGGCCGTTTGTTTGTTTGTCTGTTAGCCTGACTGTTTTCGTATTGCATAAATGGAAGTATGCCATAAAGCAGACTAAAGCCATGAACCAAAGGAATTTATAAAACGCAAAAATTGCTTTTGTTTGGGCTCCCACACAAAAAGTACACAAAGGCCGGGGATAGAGAGTGTCCACCAGCTCTAGCCGGTCCCTGTGCCTGTGCTTCTCGCTCCATCTCTCTCTCTGCTTTATTCAGCCATCTCTTTCCTTTCGTTTCGTTTTAGTTTTCGTCCCCTAATCTGTCTTGCATGTGTTCATATAAATTTTGTGTTTATTCGAGTGCATTTCCACTGCGACGCACACTCAGCCGCAGTCGGCCACGTTTAGTGGCCATGGAGCGAAATATCCAAACACCCAAGCACCCAGGTCGGGTCTCCCCCATTGGGGCTTTGAGGCTTCATTTGTGTGTGCGTGTGTGTGATTTAGACCGGGTTAACTCACACACAGCGCCCAGCAACTTTCTGCATTTTAGCTTTAACTATTTTTCCGTTTAAATAATTCCGGAGGTACTTTTTTGCGGTTGAGTCTTAGTTATGTTTCCGACCCTGGACCCAGAAATCTTGAGCTTGCTTTTTCTGCGAGATTGAATTAAAATTCCTGAAAATGAACAAAAAATAAACCGAAAGAACGTACAAAGTTACCAATGAAATTTATTGCCATCGACTTTATAGGGACTTATAAAAAGTTTTCTTTCAGCAATGTTTTCCACTGACTTCACCACCCGAACGCGCGGACTTTTGCTGAAAAGCGAGGGGTGAGGGTTGCGGCGGCTAAACTTAAACCCTTTGGCCAATTTAATTTCGCCGCTGTGGTAGTTGCTGTTGCCGCTTTGTGTTTCCCACCCAAATTGGTTTCTCATTCTGGTTGATTTCATGCACAATCTGGAGACGAGGTGCTTCAGGTGCCACATATATGGGTACACAAGCAACCAATACTTAAGTAGACTCTAGCAAGCAAACACATAAAAAAATCTAATCAGATTTAGATGACAATAACACAATATGGTGTTTAATTAGAAGAATGTACTTTTCGATCGACAAACACTATTTTATAATTTTAAGATTAGTTAAAAAAATGTGTAGACCCAATTCTCCCTGTGCATTTGTACCTGTACTTAGAGCAACGCCTTGCCAGCTGCTGGGTCTCTCAGGCCACTTGACTTGTTATCTGCACTTGGACGATCAGCCCACTTACACTTGTTGCCACTCTTGTGCCTTTCGTTCTTTGACGGCGTGGCCTTATCTCCAGGATATATGTACGTATCCAGTCCCCAATCCCCTCACCTCATTCCCCAAGGCGCGCATTTATTTATCTAGCTGGTATTGTGGAATTTTTGTTCTCCTGATGCGTGCTCACGCAATCGAAGTGTGTGACAAGAGCAAACAACAACATCCTGCTGCAAGGACTGCAGTCTAGTTATCCCCCAAAAGGCATTGAACAGCAGTTGCTTGGCAGGATTGTCTCATGTCCTGCACAGCTTACGAGGAGTGTGGCAACCCGGGATTTCGAGTGTTTATGTTCAAGCAGCTCTGAAGCAATCGTCTATGGTAGCTTAAAGACAACAATTGCAGTTGAAATTATAGTATTGGATTTCAATAGTAGAGTACTAATATAAGATTAGAACTCCTTCTCTTCAAAATGGGGTTATGTAGTTCGCCTTCAGTGTTATAGACCACAAATTGGACCACTTTGATTGGAAGCTAGTCATTTATTTTTATGATCGAAATTTTATATAAATTCAAATTTACTCAAGATATCTAAAACATTTTTTATTGACTCAATTTAAAAGGATCATTAGTTGGATTAAGACCTTAAAGTTTTCACATTTGACCGTATCCTGCTGCTCTCCACTGTTTTTATGCATACATATGCATGGTGTTTTTCAGTTGCAGCCTTTGCTCCTCCAGCTTTTCTACAAATAAATTAAAATATTTATAACACATCCGGACACTAACCCAACGAGCGCACCAAAGGAAGAGACTCGCATATTAAATTAAATATGAACCTACTCCAAATAACATCAACATGCTATTTCTATTTAAATTTCGCCTTGGGTCCATTGCTGCACGTACAAGATAAAAATATATGTATAAGTAAGTATGAAAAAAAAGTAAATAAAGAAGGTAGTGTAGTGTAGTATACGTGTGAGGGTGTGTGTGTTTTTGGGGGAGGAAGGGCGTGGCAGCCAACATATTGCTGACAGAGTTAAGCAACAGCCCGGGCTCAGAGCGAATGAATGAGTGAATGGCTGATGATGCACGTGGGTGAGTGCGGGTGTGCGTGTGTAAGGATGGCTGGGAGTGTGTGAGT